TACTCATTATTGTTAAAAAAAATATTGCAAAACTTTGATTGATTTGTTATAGGATAATTAGCACAAAACGTCCATACCTTTTAATGTTATTGTGCAAAACGTCTATACATTTCATTTTTTGGCATTTTCACCCCTATTTTCATATTTCATTGTGAAAAACGTCATTTTCACCAATTTTTAACTTCAAATGACCAATATACTCTCCTATTTAAATAAAAAAAAATAAAGAACAAATTGTAATCTTACTCATAAACTTTTAGAATGTGCAAATGAGTTGAAATAAATATTAAAATATTAAAAATAAAAAAAATAAAAACTCTTTCTCTCTTCTCTTCTTCTCCTCCCCTCACTCCACCTCCACCACCAAATGGGACCGCCACCTTAAAAGCCAAAAAGCTCCGGGCAACCATCACCCAAATTGTCGAACCTCCATATCATCGGAAAGCTCACTCCCCTCTACACATTCTACAACATCCAACCTTTATGTCAATAGATTTGGTCAAAATTGCAAGCCAAAAAACCCAAATCACAAATGCAAATACTGGTAGCACTACCTTTCCGGCAAGACTCATGTCATTCCTAACACACTAATCGACTATACTTATTAGGTCGCCTCTCTTCATTATCTTAAAACATCAATATATGCACAAAATCAAAATCTACAACAACAGCTTTTAAGTTTTTATTGGGCAATAACTAGTCAAAAATTTTGGGGCATATTAGACTAATTGATGGAAGCCCATTGTTGTTGTAGGTGCGGTGCGATGTGGCAAAGTGGGAGTGGATGGTCCGCTATGGTGGGAACCATTGTTAGCGTCGAAATTGACGAAAAAGGTAGCATGTTGTGTTCGTGATAAGCTGCGTTTTTTGTTTACTTTGGCCATGTAAATTTATTATTTGTTCAATTTGTTTATGGGAAAGTGTTTGGGGGTTGATTACAACTGTTTGCAGTGTAAGCTCCCATGTTTTGGGTGACAATTGAGGTGGTAGTTGGTGAGATAGAGGACGGCAGCTCCATGAAGGTAAAGTTTTTTTTTGGGGGGGGGGTGTATTTTTGAAAAAATTTTGGACTAATTTTGCAAACTTGTTCTTTATTTTTCTTTTTATTTTATTTTATTTAGATTCTCGTATGTTGGTCATTTTAAGTTAAAAATTGATGAAATTGATGCTTTCTACAATCAAAGGTGAAATAATGAGTGAAAATGCCAAAAAATAAATGGTATGAATGTTTTACACAATAATATTAAAAGGCACTATTTATTATTTATTTTGTGCTAATTATCATTTGTTATGTTGCACACGGTGTCTAGATAATATCGTTGGCAGGATTTCAAATTGACCACTAAATATTAAATACCAGTTTAAACGTAACTCTAATCACTCTTTCACATTATATATATACACATTTTTAATCCTTAAAACAGTTAAACAGCTCACTCTCTCACTCTTTATTCCCCTTTGGCCAAGCACTGCACATTCCATCAATGGAAGACCTAATCGTATCATCTTCTTCATCTTCCTCAATGCTTTCTTCCTCTCAAGAAAACCCAGCAACAACCCTGCAACAAAAACTCCAGTACATACTCCAAACCCAGCCACAACACTGGGCTTACGCTATTTTCTGGCAAACATCCAAGGACGATAATGGACGTATCTTCTTGGTTTGGGGCGATGGCCATTTTCAAGGGATTACTAAACATAAAGTGCACAAATCGGGTTCTCATCCTCAGAGGAAGAAAGTGATGAGAGGAATCCAGGCTTTGATTGGTGAAAATCCTGATGGTTATGGCCCTGTAGATGGTGATGTGACTGATATGGAGTGGTACTATGTTATGTCACTTGCACAATCTTTTTCTCTTGGAGATGGGGTTCCAGGAAAGGCCTTCAGCTCGGGATCTTTGGTTTGGTTGAGTGGGGAGAATCAACTGAGGTTTTATAACTGTGAAAGAGCTAAAGAAGCTCAGACCCATGGAATGCAAACTATGGTTTGTATTCCTACTACAAATGGGGTTCTTGAGCTGGGATCTGATGATATGATCACAGAAAACTGGAACCTCGTTCAACAGGTCAAGGTAATTTTTGATTCGTCAGGGATTAATGGATCCGCGGGGCAGATAATTTCATTTTCTGATATTGGTGTTGTTACTGGTTTTCAAGAAGAGGAAGCAAAGGCCAAGAAAGGTGAAGGATTTGCTGTACTTTCGTCGTATCTCGATTCAGATCATTCGGATTCCGATTGTCAGTTTTTTCTTGAGACTCCTGTGGAGAAGAAAGCTCCAAAGAAGAGAGGAAGAAAGCCTAGTCTTGGCCGTGACACTCCTTTGAACCACGTCGAGGCAGAGCGGCAACGTAGGGAGAAGCTCAACCACCGTTTTTACGCGCTCCGGTCGGTCGTCCCGAATGTGTCGAGAATGGACAAGGCATCCTTGTTATCAGATGCCGTATCCTACATTAAAGAACTGAAGAGCAAAGTTGAAGAAATGGAAGCAGAACTCCAGAAAAATCCCAAGAAAATAAAGATTGAATCAGTTGACACTTTGCAGGATAATCAAAGTACAACAACTTCTGTGGATCAAATTAAGCCTAATTCATCATCATTATCTTCGTTTGGGGTACCACAAGAAATTGAAGTGAAGATCGTTGGGCTTGATGGGATGATCAGATTCCAATCAAATAATGCAAATTATCCTGCAGCTAGGCTAATGAATGCGATTCGAGACCTCGAGTTACAAGTTCACCATGCTAGCATGTCCAGTGTTAATGATCTGATGCTTCAAGATATTATTGTTAAGGTTCCTAATGGATTGAGAAGTGAGGATGCATTAAAATCTGCTCTTCTTACAATATTAGAGCAGTAAACCCTTGTAGTTTATTTAGTACTTATTCGTTACCTCCTACGTTTGTTCAAACTAGTTAGCTTTTCAGTCCAGTGTTTCTTCAGCCTTATTAATAAAAAGCTGCTGCAAAAATATTGTTGATAATTTTTTTTTTTTTTTTGGGTGTTCCCTAAGTTCATATCACTTTCTTTGTTCGAAAAAACTAAACCTTAACAAATGGAAAGAAATCAACGAGATTTCGGGATTCAATCCACAGTTTTGTTCAAAATTGACTAGTGACAGTATTGTCTCGATATCTCAATACACCAGAGACGATGTGTTGCATAATTATTTTATCGGAGTATAGTTCTTTCGAAATGGAATATGTGAACCATATTCGTATACGATGATAAAATGTAGTTGCTTGCATGTCTTGAAATGAGCCAGCACTAAATGGAGACAAATTGAGACCTTGAAATATCAAATATCTTGTGGGGGAAATTGTAGTACAATAATTCAATATCCTACCCTACAACAATTAATAGTTGGGCTATCAATTTTTGTCACATATACCCCACTTCTTTTATCTTACCATATTTGAGCTCGTGATAAAGCACAATATGTGGAGTTTGGTTCACATATAAGAACCAGCTACCCCTCCAATAGGGGGGCGCCACATGCCCCCTGTTGCCAAACCCTGTCCCAATCCCCTGTCCCCCTAGCATCTCTCTATCAAATATCATGTGGGGGAAATTGTAGTACAATAATTGAATATCCTACCCTACAACAATTAATAGTTGGGCTATCAATTTTTGTCACATATACCCCACTTCTTTTATCTTACCATATTTGAGCTCGTGATAAAGCACAATATGTGGAGTTTGGTTCACATATAAGAATAAAAATCATTACTTGTCATTGTTGGATTTAATTTTAATCTATTGTCACTAAACTTTCGATGAAAATTGAATTGGGTTACTAAATTTTAATTTATCTTAATTTTAGTTTAAAATTATGTCAATGAAATATAATTTAGTTTCAAATTTCATCATTTTATAATCCGCTATGTCCCAAATTAATAAAAATGTATTAATTACTAGTCAACATATGATCGTTACGTGACGTGTCAATTTGCCACAACGACGCGTCATAAAAGAGTGAAAATAAAAAAATATACATATATTTCCTAACCGTTTAATCTAAATATATTGTTGTAATCGTCACTGTGTTATTTTTGTTTCTAGGGTGCTAGGTAACGACGACGTATAAGATGAGCTATGGAATGATTATTTTACTAATCAAATTCTATTAGTCTGAAGGACAATAGGTGACGGAATGTTACGCTGTGATAAAGCTTTTGCTTGGTGGGGATTAAATCAATTTTTTCTTTTTGTCTTTTTTTTATATATATAAAATTAATGAAATGTATGGTTGAAAAGTTGTAAATTTCATAAAATATGTGGTTAAAATTAATTGTTGATTTAAATTAAAATCTAGATATTAAACCCTATCAAATATGAATAAAATTTGAAGCAAAATGATAAGTATCCGTACAATTCCTCAATCGTGAAATGCATGTTGTCCAAAATATATCACAAGGAAAGTGTTCAATTTTTCCACGGCTAAGATTACTTCTCCTTCCAAGTTAAATGTCAACATCAATATTCATGGTTGACCTTCTAGTTATCTTTTAGCCCCGTTTGATCCTCATTAAATAAAATTCAATTACATTACATTTCATTTTTCTCTCTCCTATTTTCAACCGCATAATTTTTCATAAAATAATATTACATATAAATCGAAAATTTTTCCTTCTTTTTCAACCACTTATTTTTCTAAAAAATACGATTTCTCCTATTTTCATTTTCAGGTAATGAAGGTCAAACGAGGGCTTAATAAGAAATGAGAGGTGCATTTTTTTTTTCTTCACATAAAAGTGTAAAATGCACGTATCATAAATTTAGAGTTAGATACTGAAATTAAAATCAGATTTTGAGTAAATTTTGATAAAAATTGATAAAATATGCGAATAAAAAATTGTGAATTTCACAATATACATTATAAAAATTAATTATTAATTTTTACTTAAATTAAAATTTAGATTATAATTTCATCAAACGTGGGCAAATCATATCAGATGACAGGACCTGTCCTAGCCTTTGGGGTGTTTTGGGTACAACGTGGGGAAAATAATAGAGGTAGAAAGTAAACGAGGCCACAGTCTTTGGCTTTTTGCTATAATAAGATAACGCACGCAATTTTATTTTATTTTTTTATTCAGTTTTTCCTCGTTTCTTAACATATTAATATTTAATTAGTGTTATATATTAATTTCTTATCATGACATCATTGAATAGGTAAATGTTAATATTATAATATCTGTCCATTATTGTTGTTGTTATTGTGCATCTCACTAGCATTTGTCCAAGTTTATAATCGATTAAAAATTGATTAACTCAATTTATTCATATAATTTTTACTTACTTTTAACTACAAATTCCTCAAAATTCATACTTATAATCAATTATAAGTTTGATAAAATTTAGCCTACACCAGCTATTTTGAATTGGTTGTACCTCCATCGTTTAGCCCTTGTTTGAGGCACATTATTTTCCTTATAATGCATTTTTGAATAGTGTATTGATTAAAAATGTGTGATTATAAAATAAAGAAAAGTTTTGAATTTACGTATAATATTATTTTATTGATGAATATGTGGTTAAAATGATGTCAGATCACTGTTTTAAGAATATATTTTTTTGAAAAAATATGACTCAAACATGGCCTTAATATATTTTTGACATACCAATACTTCATTATTTTCTTATCAAATGTGAAGATGTTGATACATTTTTTTGACAATGTGTTGTTTTCCCATTTGTTAAACAAAAAATGAAAATTTATTGAGGATAGAATATGTCCACTTGTCCCATTAATTGAAAGGCTCAACCTTGTATCTTTTTCTTTTTCTTTTTCTTTTTCTTTTTTTTATTTCTTATTTCCTATAGAAAAATTGACTTAAACAATAAAGAATAAAAGTCATGATATGCAATTTTGGAACTTTTTGCCACTGGAAAAACCTAATTTGAGCTTCGTACATGAACAAAGTTTGTCATTTATATAAATTCACCATCTGTCATCTGATAGATTAAGCCTCCGTTTGATTTAACTAAAAATTATATATTTTTAGTAATTTTTGATTAAAAATTTAATGAAATGTATAATTGAAAAGTGATAAAAGAAAAATTGTAAATCCCATAATATGTACTATTGAAATATATGATTGTCTTAAAACCATCTTCAACGTTGCACCAAAATTTGAGATAAGTTTTACTCTATTTTACACCAAATAAAAATGTCTAATTATTTTCTTCATTTTTTATTCTTAAGCATTTATTTATTGAAAGAATTATTAATTAATTAATTTATTTTACAACTACATAAAATATTAAACAAATAATTACGTTAAAATAACGAAAATATTGAATTATTATTGACTACTAAATTATTCACTTGTTTATGTATTATATTAGATTGACAAAAATAATTATTAAATTAAAAAATTCTTAATTATTATCGATTATATTATTAAAATAATAACAATAATAATATTATTATTTATAATAATAATAATAATTTATTTTTAAAAATATATAATTAAAATGACACAAATATCCCTAATCAATATGTTTGAAAAATGAAAGAGAATGACAAAATTGACTTTACACCGCTGGTGCAAAAATGATATCCTAGGATCTCCGTTAGATATGCCCTAATCCCACTCAAACCCAATGGTCCTCTTTTCCCTTTCTCGTACGCTACGCACTCTACTCCATTGTATTTAAGCAACCTTTATTATGGCTTATGACTAGTAGCACGAGTAGGTACCTATAAATTTATTTAATTAATTTTTGGTGAAACTCCACCTAAACCAAGATAAATAATTCTAAATTTTGTTAAAACTCTTCATTTATTAAAACTTTTGTAATGAATTTCCTACTCAACCAAAAGATTAGATTTGACCAAAAATTGCATGGCACGAATTTATTATATAAAAATGTACATTTTTTATGAAAGTAACATCACGTTAAGAAATATTTTATTATTGAAAAAGACATTTTTTATACTACTCTGAACTCAATTTCCAATGCACCCATAAATATTTTATTATATAAAAATGTACTATAGTAATATATTATTATATAGGAGATTAGTTAAATTGATTTTACCTCAATTTCAATGTTTTGCAAAATTCTCTCAATTTTTAACAAAGTTGAACGCCTACCACTTTATAAAGAATAAAGCTCAGTGTACGAACCCCATTTCACGGGATTTGTTAAGAACCTCTCACATGAGGTGAGATCTACCTTATTAAAAAACGGACCCCAAAATTGTCCACCCCACTCTATGTTTGTGAGGAGTCTGTGGGTGTTCTATGGATCCTCACCCTGGCACTGTAGCTTCATCCCTTTATAAAACCATTATACAACGGGCATTCTTTTTTCACTTGGTTCATCCCAGTGCTTTGGGAAAACTTCGTTGTGTCACTAACTTTCAATTAATCCTAATTGGTTTATTGAATTTTAATTTTTCTTAATTGGATTGATGAACTTCAATTTAATATCAAATTTCTCCAATCTATCACATGCCGTCTCCTAAATCATCAAAAATTATGTGATTGACAGTCATACCATAATAGATATTTTACGTAATTACTATGGAGTATAGCAATTTACCTCTAAGTTCAATAATAAACCAATAAAAATGTATACATATTGCAACCTTTTATTCAAAAAATTTGTCATAAATCTCATTTTTTACCATTTTTTTTTTAAATGCAACATAACGATTATGTGAAAGATTAGTAATGATATGGTTGTCAACCAGACAATTTTCATCCATCGACAAAAAATATAAGTGATATTAAATGTTGAGGAGTGAAATTTCAAACTAAATTGAAGTTCAAATGTTTAGTGATTTAATCAAAATTATGATACAATTTCAGTGACAATACAAAAATTTTACTCCACTAATTCAATTATATGTCAGCTCATTTCCTTTTCCTGTTTTCTAGATCATTTCATGATTTGATTATGAAGAGATTCCGAACAAACAAATGATGTTTTTCCTTTTTCCTTTTTACGTTTATTTTATTATCTATTAAA